ACTCCATCAAACTAATTACCAAGTTAATTGTTTTAATTTGTGATTTTGGCTCAATAAATGTAGTTAATTGTTTTGACTGATCAAACATTAAAAAATATTTTGGAGTTACTCGGGTTGATTTTATAAAAGATAATTCAAAATAAAAATAATATTTAAAAATAGAATAGGCAAATAATAGAGAATTTGTTCGAAAGTGTATCGAAAAAATATACAACCAAAATAGAAAAATTAACTTTTGAGCTAAAATGTAACAAAATGTTAGATAGTTTGATGGAGATGCTCTATGGGGTATGGAATGTGATATAATATATTTTGAATACGAGATTATTATATATACTGTAGGATCATTCATATTATATTTAGTTAGCCCTCGTTTGAGAAAATGCTATTTTAATAATTTTTTAGTTTTGAGAAGTTGATAAAAAGTTGACTTTTTTAGCTTATTTTATCTTTTTATGGGTAAGTTATGTGAGAGGTGATGTGACTCAAAATTGGTAAAAAGCTAAAAATTGGCTTTTTACTAGCTTCCCAAAAGAGCACAATATAAGATAAAAAAAAAAATTAATATGTTTGAAATGACTTTTTATTTTTTTTACAGAAAGATGTACAAAAAATAGAGAGAAAATATAATCTTTAACTTTTTGTATAAGTTATTGTTTTTAATTTTTTTAATAACTTTTTGGTTTTAAGTGTTGCATGCCAAACGATACTTTAGAATATGATATAACATGAGATAAGAAGAGAGTGACTATTTTTATCGTTAAATAAAAAAATGATAATTTTGGAAGACATGCAATACCTTAGTGTATGATATTTCATATTTTGTATTTTTTAGATATATAATACACCACCCAATCTCATATCTAATAACCAAACAAAAAGTATTAAAAAAATAAAAATAAAAATTGAAACCCACGTATTTTTCTTTATCTCCCATACCATGTCAAAAACAACTTTAATTATCTTCGTAAGAACGGTTCGGAAAGTAAAATAAATGATTTTAGTATCAGTTTTATGAGTTGTAACAAGATTAAGTTTGTTGTGCTGTCATGTTTGCACCGCTAACATTTTATCTATCAATTCGAGCAATTTAGTGAGCTGTAACAAGATTAGTTTTGTTGTGCTATCATGTTTGCCCCATTAACGTTATATCCATCAATTCAAGTTTTTTTTTTTAATAAATTAATTGAAATTACATATTGAAAGGAAGACTTCAAAGAATAATTTTAGTTTGAGAAATAAATTCAAAACAACTTACATTTGTAATTTTTTTTTCAAAACAACATGGGTTTTAAAAGAAAAAATAATAAGAAAATGATAAAATAAAACTCTAAAATGCTCTCTATGAAAATTTCTGAATACATCCATCTAATTTCTCTTACATCCAACATATATATTGGTATAGCATTTTGCCAGTTAAAATTAATAACAAGAAATTAAAATCAACCCTCCTCTACCTTTTGAGAAATAAATTCAAAACAACTTACATTTGCAACTTTGTTTCAAAATAACATAGGTTTTAAAAAGAAAAAATAATAAGAAAATGTAAAATAAAACTTCACAATTCTCTGTATGAGAATTTCTAAGCACATCCATCTGATTTCTCTTACACCCAATATATTCAAGTTCTTTGTACTTATGTTTGGCCCATTAGGGTATCTCCAACACTAACTCAAATTTTTTCATTAAATTTGAGTAAAAATTTCATCTAATACCATGTGTTTTAACACTTATTTTTTAATTTTCATTAAACAACCGGTTGACTGAGTGGATGTCCAGGAGGATGTCTGGCACAGTCATCCGATTGTGTAAATTGATGACATCCTGAAACGAAGAAATTTGCAAGCTTGGTTGGCCAAGTGAGGACAACTGATCGGTCGTCCGATGTATGGTTCCACCGTATATCTATAGTAATTTGATGAAATGTTAAAGTCATCCTCAATTTGATGAAAGTTTTGGATTTCCTTTCATTTGATATGGGTTTGATGTCATTGTTAGAGTAGCAAAACTGGACTTATTTCATTAAATTTAAATTTCATGAAAAAAACAGAATAAACTTTGGAGGCACTATTAGGGGCAAAATTTTAGCTTTGTCCCTATATTAAAATATATGAGAAAGAAGAAAATTTGATAATACATACCCATTTTGGGATGTATACTATATGTTTCCGTTACGATATTTATAATGTTTAGTTATGACATATTATGATATCATTTATAACTTAATTATGACTCATTATAATATTGATAGTGGGTTATTGTAATTAATACATATTTGAAGGATATGTATTCTAAAATAACCTGATAAAGAATCACCATAGAAATTTGGAGATATATAAATTTTGAAACTGTAATATAAATGAACGGAAATATATTGAAATTGAAAAAGAGATAAATATATATGGGACAATTACAAATAAATATAAACTCTAAATAGTTACAAAGATATGAAAATATAAGATTTAGTTGCATAATTTAATATATAAATTAATTATATTTCTATTACATTATAATTATTTTATGTTGATACTACTTTTTTACAATTCTCCCAATATTTATCATTGATTATTCTAAGAACTTTTTTTAATTAATTCTTCTGAGATTATAAATTTTCCGTTTAAAAATAGAATTTTTTTAACCCAAGGTGGGTATTTTAGTCAAAGTACATGATCCTTATCCAAACCAATACCGTGAAGGCAAAGCGACTGGCTTTCCCCTTCAAACTCAGACTTGAGAGGTGTTGCTTGTCCTATTAGATTTTTTGTAGGGCTGTGCAAGGAATCTGTCAAATTCGTAATTTGATCCAATCCAGTCCAATTTGATAGGTTTGGATTGGTTTTTTGAATCCGCGGTTTGGTTTCGGATTGAAAAATTAAAAATCCGTAGTCCACGGATTGGTTCTAGATTGAACCCCACGGTTCCGGATTGGAACCGATCCGGACCGTATACAAATAGTCTATATTTTTATTATACATCCTCTCCTATAGTATCTTCTCTTATTCTATATAAAATCTAAACTCAAACCTAAAACCGTATAATATCTTATTTTATTACTTTTGTTTGTATTTTCTTATGGTTATTTAAATTCAAGAACAGTATGTCACTATTATAGAAAAACATGTTGCTATTATGGAACTGATATAGCGCAAATGAACGGAAATATATTGAAATTGAAAAAGAGATAAATATATATGGGACAATTACAAATAAATATAAACTCTAAATAGTTACAAAGATATGAAAATATAAGATTTAGTTGCATAATTTAATATATAAATTAATTATATTTCTATTACATTATAATTATTTTATGTTGATACTACTTTTTTACAATTCTCCCAATATATATCATTGATTATTCTAAGAACTTTTTTTTAATTAATTCTTCTGAGATTATAAATTTTCTGTTTAAAAATAGAATTTTTTTTAACCCAAGGTGGGTATTTTAGTCAAAGTACATGATCCTTATCCAAACCAATACCGTGAAGGCAAAGCGACTGGCTTTCTCCTTCAAACTCAGACTTGAGAGGTGTTGCTTGTCCTATTAGATTTTTTGGATCCCATTTTAATTATTTAAATTATTCATAGCTTCAAATTTATTTGGTATATTATATTTTTTAAAAAATATATTGAGTATATTACATCTATAAAAAAAATTAAATCAATCAAATAATGATAATCATGTACTTAAATTAATTTTATATAAAAAAATAAACAAAAAAATTAATCAGCTTGCTTGGTTAGGTTTTTCAGAAAATACTTTTTAGAAAATTTTACTTTCTTATTTTTCTTATTTTTATTGAATTTTTAAAAATATTTTAAGTAATTTTTTTTTTTACTTTTTAGACATTCCTAACATAAATATACCTAAAAAGTAAAAAAATTGTGAAAAAATCTTTTAAAAATTTACTAAATACCAAAAATATAAAAAAATACGAAAATTCAGTACATTTTTTTTTGTATTTTTATGCATTTATTAATTTTTTAAAATATTTTTTTACAATTTTTTTTCTTTTTAGATACATCTGAGTAAGGTGTATTTAAAAAAGTAAAAAAATATTTAAAATTTTAAAAATATTCACTAAAAACAAAAAAATATAAAAATAAAAAAACTTAATTTTCAAAAAAACTCAAATCAAACACACTAAACAATTCATATAAAATTAACCCAAAATTTATTTTTTTTATAAAAATAATATACTCGACGATAGTCAAAATGAAGCTAAAAAATAAACTCAACAGTCCGAACTGAACAAATTAGGATCTCTTTCTTGCATTATTTTCTACTTGCAGGGTCATTGGCCCATTTTTAGGCCCAATTTTGATAATTCGAATCGTTCATATTTTAAGATTTGTTCAATATATCATACCTGTAAAAAAATCAAGTTGATCGGATATCAGAAAGTATGTGTTTGAAAAAATCGAACTAAAAACTATTTTTTTAAAGAATTTAATAAATAATTTTTCGACACCTTAGGGCCACTGGAGGTTTGCCCGGTCGTTAACTTCAGGGCCCTGAGATTAGTCGAGGTGCGCGAAAGCTGGCCCGGACACTCAGTTATCAAAAAAAAAAAAACAGCTCGAACTGAACGAAGTAGGATCTCTTTCTTGCATTATTTTCTACTTCTAGGGTCATTGGCCCATTTTTAGGCCCAATTTTGATAATCCAAATCGTTCATATTTTAAGATTTGTTCATTATATCATACCTGTAAAAAATCAAGTTGATCGGATATCAGAAAGTATGTGTTTAGAAAAATCGAATTAAAAGCTATTTTTTTAAAGAATTTAATTAACAGTTTTTTAAACGCATACTTTTGATATTTGATCAATTTAATTTTTAACAAATATAATATATTGAATAAATTTTAAAATATAAACAATTTAAATTATCAAAATTGAGCCTAAAAATAAATCCTAAAGGCTGCAAATAGGAAATGCAAGAAGGGATCGTGACTCGAACTGAACTGTGGACAGGAGACAGTCCAGAGCCGAAAGGAAAAGCATTTATCACCGGCTGAAACCGGTCACCATATCCAACACGGGGCCCTGTTTTTAAACGTCCGAAACCCCCGTCCGTTTTTTTCGTCGTTTTGTCATTCTCTGCTCTCTCCACTCTTCCACCCCCACACTCTGTTCTGCTCTCATCCCTCTCCTTATAAACCCTAGCTCTCTTCACATCTTCGCTTCAAATTTGAACAATTTTTTACTCTTTGTGCAGACTAGTTTCTTCCTAGCTACTATAAATCTGAAGAAATTGCCTAGAAAATCATATATATATATACACCTATATTTTGAGCTAAAAATCAAACCTACAAGAGCTGAGCAATGTCTGTGGCTACTGAGCTTCGTTCGCCAGCAAAATCGCATTCGGAAACCCGAGCAATACTCGGACCAACAGGAAACAGAGTTAGGGTTTCAGAGGAAGCGAAACGAAAGAAAGAGGGTCTGAAGAGGCCGCAAAAGCCGAGTAGGTTGGTTTCGGAAGCAACGAGGTCGATTGTTCTGAACAATTCGTCACTGGACAGTACGAGCTCTCTGGAATCTTCCTCGGGTGGATCTTCTGTGAAAATGGTGAGTTCCAAGAGGAGAGTGAAGCCCAATGGGTCGAATTCTGTGAAGGTTGTTCCTGACGGGGTCGATTTGGTGTCGCTCTCGCTGCTGGTTTCAGGTCCGGTGAAGCGGTGCGATTGGATCACACCAAACTCTGGCAAGTTTTTTAAAAACTTCACTTTTTGTTTTCCCGAAGCATTCTGTATCATTTTATTGGTTTCTTTTCTTTGTACTTTGCTTTCTTCTTTTGTTGTATTTGTGATTGACTTTTATTTTCTCGAAAAATTGTTTAATGATTTAGGATAAGTATAATGTGTGAGTATATTTAATTAGGTTCCGGACAAGAAAGCAGGGTAGTTATTAAAAGAGAAAATTATCATTCAGTGATAAGTTCAAAATCTTATTACAGATACATGAAAACCTTTATAATTTTAATTATTAATATTTATAAAGTTTACTATTTATTTGTGTTATTTTTTCAAAACATGGACTGAATTGAAATTTCCATTTATTAAAATTGCAAGAAAGAGAAGAGCACAAGAAGCATAGTTGGACTGAATTGAAATGTTTCTCTTGTTTTTTTATTTAGGGATTGGAGTGCTTTTACGAGCTCTCTGAAATCTTCCTCGGGTGGTTTTTCTGTGAAAATGGTGAGTTCCAAGAGGAGAGTGAAGCCTAATGGGTTGAATTCTGTGAAGGTTGTTCCTGACGAGGTCGATTTGGTGTCGCTCTCGCTACTGGTTTCAGGTCCGGTGAAGCGGTGCGATTGGATCACACCAAACTCTGGCAAGTTTTTTAAAAACTTCACTTTTTTGTTTTCCCGAAGCATTTTGTATCATTTTATTGGTTTCTTTTCTTTGTACTTTGCTTTCTTCTTTTGTTGAATTTGTGATTGACTTTTATTTTCTCGGAAAATTGCTTAATGATTTAGGATAAGTATAATGTGTAAGTATATTTAATTAGGTTCCGGACAAGAAAGCAGGGTAGTTATTAAAAGAGAAAATTATCATTCAGTGATAAGTTCAAAATCTTATTACAGATACATGAAAACCTTTATAATTTTAATTATTAATATTTATAAAGATTACTATTTATTTGTGTTAATTCTTCAAAACATGGACTGAATTGAAATTTCCATTTATTAAAATTGCAAGAAAGAGAAGAGCACGAGAAGCATAGTGGGACTGAATTGAAATGTTTCTCTTGTTTTTTTATTTAGGGATTGGAGTGCTTTTAGACTTCAAAATGACCCTTTAATATGAAAATTTAGAGGAATTAAACCTTTATATATACTCCATCCGTCTTAAAATATTAGTCCCTTATTTCATTTTTCATTATCTCAAAATATTAGTCATTTTTCAAAAATCAAGTACAAAAATAATATAAAATTTTCATTTTGCCCTTCTTTTAAATTCATTAACAAAATAAAAAGTACAATTATGACATTGATACTCTCCAAAAAAAAATATACTACCAAAGGGTAATTTTGAAAAATTATTTTTTTTAAAGTGCAATAATTGTACTACCAAAAAAAGTTAGTTTCTCTAAAAGAAACCATTATTTTGAGACGGAGAGAGTATATATATATATTATAAAGGATTGAATGGTCTGAAAGGAGAAACAGAGTAAATCCTTTCGCAACTTACCAATTATTATTGAGCTTGCAAATATTCTATGAGCCCATTCAACGTGTTCATTCAAGAAGCTGTGTGGAATATTTTTAATATAGAACAGAAGCAATGCATTGGAACTAGAGCTATTATTGTTGTGGTCTTTCTTCTTTCATGTTTAAATTTGACCTTGAGAGAATTTGAGGGGCCGTGAGATCCGCCATGGGTTTCGTTTCGATAATCTGAATGTTCATTTTGTAGGGCCATCAATTTATATTATCTATAGAAAAAATTAGATCGTTCCGATAATCATAACATTTTTTATTTTATTTTATCGCGTTTGGCTTTGAAAAAATGGACAACAAATATATTTTTCAAAATAGATCATCCATTTTTTTTAAGGAAAATACAATAAAATGAAAATATTATAGTTATCAAATCAACCTAATTTTTTTCTTAGTCAACATACACGGATGGCCATACAAAATAAACGGTTCGGATCATTAAAACGGGACCCGTGGTGGGCCTCACGGGTCCCTAAAGTTCTCCCAAGTTTAGATTGAACTTGAGAGAAACACAACCTAATTGTTATGTGATCTGATGGGCATTTGGAGAATCAGAGATACAGTTTGTTGTGTTAAAGTGGTTGCTGGTTGGCATGGTGGTTTTGGCTAGCAACTTCTTGTTTAAGTTTTTTTCTACATGCTCAAGTTTGGATTTACCATTTTTGGTGCAACTTTGAGGCTATGAATATCATGCGACTATCCTCTATATGCCGTACACTATTTATAAGATCATGTATTTTAATTTGGTTAAAGGCAGTGTAATTTGTGTTGTCCCGAACTAGTTGGATCATGCACGGTTCTTTGATCTGATATAACTGATAGGCTTAGGATTTGTTTTGAATATCCAACTAGCAGTTAATCACAGATATTAGTCTGCAATAAAGTGTGTTGCACAACTTACCAATTAATTGACAAAGCCTCTACATGTCAATATGAGTTGCATTATCTCAGGCTATTCAATACCACAACAATGAGTACTGTAGCTGAACTAACCAGGTAAAATCCAACATCAAAATTTTAGGTCCTGATTTTAGTCTTTGACAACGCCTTTATTTAGTGAAGGAATCAAAAATTTTTTTTAGAGGCAAATCGCCCACACCAAATTTATCATATTATATTAGTAGTTCATTTGAAGGGTTCTCATTCTATTTTTGTTGCTTTTGAAACTAGTCGACATTCTTTTCCATTACAGTAAAATAAGTCCATCTCAAATATATATATATATATATATATTTGTTGCTTTCGAAACGAGTCAACAATCTTTTTCATAGCAGGAAAATAAGTCCGTCTTTAAAAAGACAAAGTTGTTGCAGTTTTCTTTTTCTTTTTCTTTTTTTTCCTGCTCCTCCAATCACCCCCTGCCACGTGGCAAAGGGGGTGAGGGGGTGACCCCCAAAAGGGGGTCCCAAGCATTATTCATATATATATTTGTTGCTTTCGAAACGAGTCAACAATCTTTTTCATAGCAGGAAAATAAGTCCGTCTTTAAAAAGACAAAGTTGTTGCAGTAGACAATTATGTGGAAAACTTTATTGATCTTGCCTCTTTTTTACTTCATAGAGAGAGAGAGAGAGAGAAACATATTTCAAAAGAAAAGATCTTGCTTTTACATGTATTTTGTTCCACATTTTGATAATTCTTGCAGTGAGTCTATTCATCTGTTTTTGATGTCCTAATGACCTTTTTGATATGTTTCTAAATTTCAATGTAATAATGTCCATAATTCACCTTCCTTTATGTCCTTCCCATTTTCAGACCCACTTTATACTTCTTTCCATGATGAAGAATGGGGGGTTCCAGTTCTTGATGATAGGAGGCTATTTGAGCTACTTGTCTTATCACAAGCATTGGCAGAATTCACCTGGCCAGCAATTCTCAACAGGCGAGACATATTCAGGTATGTGATTCTTCAATCTTCATATTCAGAATATTTTTCAGTTAATATTATTCATTGTCATGCGTGTTTAATGTTTTTTCAATCCCTTTGGCAGGAAGCTTTTTGACAATTTTGATCCATCATTCGTAGCAAAGTTTACAGAGAAAAAGTTGCTTTCACTGAGATCAAACGGTAGCACATTGTTGTCTGAGCCAAAGCTTCGAGCAATTGTGGACAATGCTAACCAGACACTTAAGGTATTAGAGGCAATAATCCTCCAAACCTCCCTTTGTCATTGATGCATTCACGCCTGCAGTAGAGAAACTGGGGACATTGCTTTCGGGGTCCAATCCTATGTCATATAATAAAACTATTTTTCAAATCAAAATATTGATTTTATTTTTATTTTTTGGTGGGTATGAGGAGATTGAATTTGCCAAGTTGTCAAATGGTCTGATTGCCTGATTGCATTCTTGAATTAGATGTTGCCACTTCATTTACTCTTCATTTCCTTCAGCAACTACTGCTGGAGCTTTGTAAACCACAAGCCCATAAGAAATGGATTCCGTTATGCACGCCAAGTACCAGTCAAGACACCGAAAGCAGAGCTCATAAGCAAGGATTTGATGCAGAGAGGCTTTTCCGTTATGCACGCCAAGTACCAGTCAAGACACCGAAAGCAGAGCTCATAAGCAAGGATTTGATGCAGAGAGGCTTTCGATGTGTGGGGCCTTCTGTGGTTTATTCATTCATGCAAGTAGCAGGGTTGACTAATGATCATCTCGTAACGTGCTTCAGATACCGTGAGTGCAATACCGATGTCAAAAAGGATCTGAAACCAAAGAATGAAGACACAGAGGTACCAGCCAACACTCTGGAGAACAAATGTTCAGCTCACGACTGAATTGCCTGAGCAAGCTTTTTGACTAATACACAGAACCAGTTATTACAGAGGTATAGCAAAAGATATGAAATTCAGTGTTTGTAGTGTTTTTTTATTGTAGATGTTCGTGTAGGAGACTTCATATGTTTGTGTATCAATTAATCTAACAGAGTGATTTACTAGAATGAACAATACATACATGGTTTTTCTGTTCATTCCATTAGACTTCCATTGTATCCTAATAAGTGCACTCTTCTTCGTTGTGTGTTTAAATGATTTAGGAAGAACTTCCTCTAACCTTGCGATTTATGACTCTAGAGATTTTTCACGTAGGTGTTTTGTGATGCGTAAATTATGTTATTTTCTTATATTGTAACTTATAAGTTTTGATTAGAAAGAAAACTTAGAATGCTTTAGGTATGGCAGATAATTAAAACAATATTCCTGCATCTTAGTATGAATTTTACAGTTGTCTAAGGTTATGTTTGGTTCACAGATTTGAAAAGGGATTCCTGTTCACTTTCCAAATCCTTCTCCAAATCTGTGAACCAAACACAGCCTAAGAGTCATATCAGGTTCTAGCAGGAGCATCAAATACATTAGTCAATCCGCTGAATCAACAGGCATCTCGTGAGGAATAGACTAATAGGGTTTGTATCATTTTAATATTAGATAAACTATTTGCAATATGAATTCTGCTCTATTTGGCACCATGCGCATTTTGATGTTTGTTTAAATTTTCTTCACATGATGGGCTGCTTCAAGGTTGTGGTTTCCTTGCTTTATGTTATTTGTTACGTGTCTAGCCTCTTCGGTTGTGAGAACTGTTTTGTAGCTATCCTCTCTCGGGTTGTGAAAGGTTAAGTTTAGGTGACTCAGGTTTGTTGTCTTGTGTTAAAAATGTTGTGTGTGTCTATATTTCTCAGGTTGTGAAATGCTGTCCTGTCTTAGTTAAGTTCCAAGGATGTCAATTTGTTTTGTTTCTATATTCCCGGCCTTGTTTTATATTCCAAAGATGCTGATGTTTTATTTATTTTTATTGTTTCAAAATTTTAAAATTTCAAAATTTTTATTATAGACATTCATTTTTAATGAAATTAATATGTTTGGAATCTGAACAACGAGATTAATTAAACAAGATCAATAATAATAAAAAAAAAAATATATTTTATAAAAAACGAATGTGTAATATAAAAATTCTAACATTTTAACGTTTAAATATAAAAGGACAAAATTCTTATACATCAACAAAAATTATTGTGGGAATTTAATTTAATTCTAAATTCAAATTTTGGGTACTTGAGTGGTTTCCTAAAGTTTGTAATTGAGAGAATTTAATTTAATTCTAAATTTAAATTTTAGATTCCTTAAGTGGTTTCCTAAAATTTGTACCTCTTACTTTATTTTTTAAACTATTTTGAATCTGTTTAATATATATATATATTCAATAGTTTAATATATATATATATATATATATTCAAATAGTTTATTTACTATTAAGTTCCAACAGGTGTTATGTACTTCTAACAGGTCACTTTTTCATAATGTTTGAAAATGCTCCGGTTTTGCCTAACGGAAATTTTCAAAAACATTTGAATATAATTGGTGCGTCTGTTCACTGTTTTTTGAGAAACCTGTTCGGGGCTTAAGTTTTTGCCTATATATACTGTCTTTTTCCAGCGTTTTGAGTAGTGAAAAAATAGTCAAAATAATCTGGAAATTTAGTTTTTGGTAATCCAATTTCCATCCGAAATTTTTAGTCTAAAACTTGTCTCTTCGCTGTCCATTTCTTTTAGTGCATTATTCCTCATATTTAGCTTTAGGGAAAAATATTCAGAGAGTATAGATCACAGGTTTGGTTCGTCGAATAAATTTATTTGAAGTACTTCTATAAATTTGTGAAGATCATTGTATCCTGGGAGATAGACGCCACTCAACCGTAAGTACCATAGCGGGGCGAATCTGTCTTAAGGACAGAGTGTCACACACTCGACTTGGTCTTGTAATTTTATTTGGTTCGACAAAATAAATCCGGTATGTTATTTATTTATTTTGTTTGAATTTATTTTCAAATTATTTTATTTTACACAGAAGATTGTTCCAACATTTTCTTCACATGATGGGCTGCTTTCAAGGCTGTGGTTTCCTTGCTTTATGTTATTTGTTACGTGTCTAGCCTCTTCGGGTGTGAGAACTGTTTTGTAGCTATGCTCTCTCGGGTTGTGAAAGGTTAAGTTTAGGTGACTCAGGTTTGTTGTCTTGTGTTAAAAATGTTGTGTGTGTCTATATTTCTCAGGTTGTGAAATGCTGTCCTATCTTAGTTAAGTTCCAAGGATGTCAATTTGTTTTGTTTCTATATTCCCGGCCTTGTTTTGTGGGGTTTTCTGTCCCAATAGTAATTCTGAGAGGGGACCGGATTTGCTTATCCCGTTCTCAACTATAATTTTGAGACATTAATTGAGAAGTCCTATTTTACAAAATTGTTCGAGATTAAGTCGTGCTTAAAATATTTTATATCAATAGTCGTGTTAATTTATTTCTTCTAAAATTACTCACACATGCAATTCCGTATGCTTAGCCGAAAGAAAAATTATTAGTGCTTTAGGTGCACCATGTGCCAATGTCATCTACTAATCACCAAATACCATGTCCTAATACAAAATCGTGAGCCCACTCCATCAACCACGGGCACCACCTAACCATGCCTAAGGAGCACTAAATCATTATTCTAGCCAAAGTAGGCACACTTCAAGATGCTAAGGTGAGACCTTGGGTTGTAGTCACACCTTAAGGTGTAATGAGGAACATATCAGAAATTTAAACTAATAGAATAGCGGCGACCTCTTTAGTTATAATCTAACATTTTAACGTTTAAATATAAAAGGACAAAATTCTTATACATCAACAAACATGTCAGGCCGTTCACGCATGAGTTCCTTCCCTCTGTTAATTGAAAGCAAAATCGCCTAGCAATAAAAACAATTGAAAAGAAAAAAAAAAATTTCTTGAAATAAAAAATTCTACATGGTAGTTACCCTAGCACACAACCTTCACCAAATAAGATTTGTAGCTAATTATTCCTATAATTTTTATATGTATATACAAATTATAAAAATAAAACATCAAAACATCAATACATATTCAATTTTGTGACATCTTTTATTTTCATCCTTTATCTTTTTCTCTCTTTATTTATCAATTTTTGTTATCATCTCTCTTATTAGTATTATCTCTCTCATAAAGATGACAAATTAATCCACCACTTCTCCATTCTCACCCTACCCTGGCCTTACACGCTTAACCCTATATTATGCAACATTGTATATGTTTTAAGATTAGAAAAAAAAAATGATAAGTTGTAGTTTTTAGTAAGTAAAAAAGCGAGAAAAAGTATCTGTAATTTTATAATCAATATAGTGAATTAGTATGGCTCCTGAAGTCATAGACATGTTACTGAACCTCGTATATCTATACATTATGTCAATTTTATTTTCTGTAATTTATAATTTTAAGATCCATAAAATTTAAAAATTGAACGTGTGGTTTAAATCTTAACACCCGCCGCCTCATAATTTTTCCCACCCAACAAAAAGGAAAAAAGAAGGCCAACATGAAGCCTCAGGTTAGGAACTTGCAACAGTCTGGTCAATATGTTTAGATGTAAGGGATGATGAGAGAAAATGTTATAAGTTTTAAATTTTTCATCAAATAAATAATTAAATGTCTCACATGGATATAGAGTCCACATTTTGTAAGATATTTAATCATTTAATTGGTAAAAAATTTAATATTTCTAACATTGCCCAAAAATGAGAGCTTGCAACATCAAAGGTGTCATGTTGACACAATCAACATGCCCCAAATGACAGACAAAAAAATAAAAAATAAAAAATAGAGAAACCTCGGGTTAGGAACTGTGTCTAATAGTACATGGATAAAGACCAGATTCCTCCATGAAGACATACTTACAGTTTATCAGATAAATCATACTTACAGTTTATCAGTTTATCTAATAGTACAGTTTATCAGATCCATCGTTTTTCGATAAATCATACTTACTTCTCCTACAGTTTAGAAAAATTACAATTAATCTTATATTTTTAACATAATTACATTAACTTACTTCTCCTAAAATTTAGAAAAATTACCATTAATCTTATATTTTTAACATAATTACATTAACTTCACTTTTAATAAGGCTTCATTTGGAAAGTTGCGTAGATTTTTTGACTTTTTGATTATTTTAGCCTAAGCTCAAAAGTTCGTTTGGGTTGAATTTTTTGATTTTTGTGAGAGAAAAAAAGTGAAATTATTATGATTTAAATACGATATTTTATCTTCTTAACTTTTTGGACAATTTTGTCTTTTTATAATTAATTTAGCCAAAAAGTCAATGCAACTCAATTGCCAAATGATATCTAAGAATAAGGCCTCGTTTGACAAGTGTTTCTTTTAGCCGAAAAGTAAAAAAATCACTTAAAAAAAAAAAATCTATAATTTTTATTCTACAAATCTATGCATAGTAGCTAGTGTACTACACCTTTTCGTGTAGTAGGCAATCATAAAAAATTGTTCACCGTGATTGCGTGGAAAAAAATTTATTGGAGTCTTGGGTGTATTTAGTTTGTGT